TTTTTTGATTGTAAGCCGCCCTGAGTCCCCTCAGGGAAAAGGGCGGCCTATAAATAAACAAATCAAGAATCAAGAAATCAAGAATCAATCCTAATATTTTTTTAAAAAATCCTAGAAAAAAGGTTTTTCCCCCCTGTTTGTGCAAGACACTATTAGAAATGGATGACATTATTTTGAGCATTAAAAAAATAGTTAGACTAGTTTTCTCACAATTTGGAACATATCAAAACACTTAGCCTAAATGTTTATGTACCCAGATGAGGGAATACTACCCAGAAGAAAAACACTTGGGTAGCATCATGGTTCTTAATACACGTTGGTAATAAATTCAGTGGCAGAATTCAGTGAAAGCATCAATTCCAAGAGATTGTGTGTTTGCAATTTAGTGTCCTGTTGACCTTTCTAAATAAACTTTGCAAAACATTAATTCAAAAAGGTGCTTTTGATCACATATAAAGTCCTATATAGCACAGGCCCTGATATTTCAGAGCCATCTGTCTCTAATTATATACAATATGTCTATATTACAAGTTCCAGTAAGGCATGCTCTGGGTTGCATCAATGTTATCTAATGGGACATAGGAGTCATGCCTTCTCTATCACAGCAGCTGCCCATCGAATACTGCCTCCCCACTTTGGTTAGCTGCAACTCTTTTTGCCTTTAAGGCGGCCTTGGTTCTTCCCTCAGGGCAGGGTGATATATAAGCCTGTTGAAAACACATGAGGTCTGCATTTTCATAACCTTGACTTGTTTTGTTATTAACTGAAGTTCTTATACCGTGATGTTTTTAACACTTGCTAGCCTGCCACAGTTACGGCAAATACAAAGGCATAATTTGAGCCAATACTTCTTACAACAGTTGTTCAAAAGAGAGTAAACAAGGATCATATTCCAGAGGCTGGGATTCTATCCAAATGATAAATTTGAGTACCGATCTGTACACTGGTTGCTTACTGTAGTAATTATACATCTCCAATTCAGTCAAGTTTTCTAAGATTATTGCTATTCAGGTGACAACTTACTTTATAGAATTACAGTATTTTTGATTGCAGAATTTGGATTGCAGAAGTAAGGATTAGAGCAACAATCAGGAATATACAGGAAATGTTGTTATCAAGTAAGATTTATTATTTCTTTATTAGATTTTTGTTATCTATAACTGCAGGGGGCTGCAAACAAAAGGATATTAAGTGAAGATTATCAAATGAATAGAGAATTGCAGGGGAAAAGACTATATACATCAGCCTAAATAGCTTGGAATAAAAACAAAAGTTTTTATAAAAGTTTAATAAAAATAGAATTTTAATGTATAAATATTAAATTCTTATGATTACACACACACATGTTTTCGTAGATTTTCACGGGTGTAGGTATGTTGGTCTTGTTGTATTCGGGTCTTTTCCCATGTAAGATTGAGATTGTCTTGGCAGCATTTCAGCGAGGTCTCACTCGCCATCTTTAAGCCCAAAACCCAAAACATTTTGGGGAGTGGCGATGAGCAATCTGAAATTTCATGAAAGAGTCCATGATCTAAAGTGTTTGGATACCCTTGTGATAAGCAATTGAGCAGATATTTTCTGAGCTGCCAAATGTCAAATTAGCTAAATGGCATTTTACTTTAATGGCTTTTTTCTTACTGATGTTAGCTTTGGAGGTAGGAATTGCTAAGCATACTTAAGATTTCCAGCTCTTTTGTTTCTCCCACCCATAAGGTATTGCACCTCTGTAGTGGGTATAGCAAAGAATTATTCTGAGCACATTTTCATGGAAGTAAGTCTCACTAAATTCTATGTAATCTACCATCCTATGGAGTCCATTTAAACTCACGCCTTCTGCTTTGGTGACTCCATCCATCCACCTCATTCTCTGATGTCCCCTTCTTCTTTTGCCCTCAATCTTTCCCAGCATTAGGCTCTTCTCTGGGCTTATAAGCTATTTCAATTAAAACTAACACTGAGCAACCCAGCCTTAATATATTTTACCATAAAATAGCAAACCCTAAATCTCTCCCTCTCTCCCCCCCCCTCTCTCCATTCAACAATGTTATGCAGCTTTTATTCTACAGTATTTTACTGTCCATCCATTCAACAGTTTCTATTTGTAGAAAAAAATTGCTAATAGATATTTTAACAAAATCAGTAAGGATCTCTATGACACTTTAAATAAATGTATGGCTGGATCAGTTTTCACCCAAGACTAGATTTCATCAGATCCATCAACAACCAATGAAGAGCAGCAGCATTGCATGCTAATGCTGTAGGTAAGATGCCATTGGGCAAGATATGCACTAATCTTTCTTAAGATCTGGTGGTGCACCTTAAAATGTTATTCAAAATGTATTTATCTCTAAAGTGCAACCCTTCATCATTTGGCTGTTTTACATATGCTTAATACTTCAAGATCTTACATCTTCAATGGGCACCCATGCATTAATGAACCAGAAAATTCCATACAACTTGTATTAGGTTATTTCTATGTATAACCACTGTTTTTCTCCTGGTATACACGAATATCTGAGAATTTGAACCTCCACAAACGATATTTTCAACATTAGTATATAATGGCAGAATGCATGCAGAAAGATGTAGGCCACAGAGACAGATACAACTGGGAGGCAAAAAAAACCAAAATCCATCATTAAACCCAATGCAAGGATGAAATCCATATTTGACCGAATTCAAAGGCATAATTCTCAATACTTTCAATGTTTTTGGATTGAACCTTCAGTGTCAGTAGTCTGTTTACAATATAGTGCAAAACTACACTTGATAATAGCAATTTGTGAACAGTTTAGGACATACTGTTTTAAATCCTGATCATTTTCTCACCTTCTAAAATTTTGAGAAAAGCAGTCACAGGATAGAAATTGAAAGTTTTTAAATACTTTTTCTTCAATCAAACAATCTACTCTCTACTCAGTATTAAGCAATGTGGCCTCAAACCCTTTTCTTCTGCAGAGAAAACATGCATACTTAGATGCGAGCAGTGTGTGTGTGTGTGTGTGTGATTGTGTATGTGTGCACACACACAGGTTTGTGCTTTCAAGTGTATTCCCAAATCTCATGTCCATTTTAGCTCATATAACTTGGACTCCTCAGCTTCTAAATAGATCTAAATTAAATAGATATTTAATTTCCCTTAATCACAGTTCCCATTCTGACTACTTCTGCACTTCCTAAAATGTCAATGCTTAAGGGACAGAGAAAGAGAAAAATATGAAATGGCAGAGGGGAGAAACAGATTGGCAGTTGGGTCAAATTTGCAAATGCAAGTTCAAATTCAGCCAGGTCATAAAGTTCAACATTAATAAAAGATTGCTGAATCTTGCACTACGATCCTCAGTATATTTACTCTGAGATGACAATATTTTACAGGATTACTCCTTAATAAATGCAACAACAATTGCAGTCTCTGAGTTACAGAGCTAAAATAGGATGCCCAGACACTCTGCAATGATTCATGAGCCCCAGAGAACTGGGGGGGGGGGGGGAGAAATACAAAATAATAGATAGAAAGGTAATTAACTGGCGTAGTATGAAAGAAGGTAGTTTACTCAAAATGTATCTGTGCCAATGGCACAAAATACCAAAATTACACCACATCCCTGATTGATGACAGGGAGTTCAATCTACTGGGGAAATCTACATAACAAGGCTTCTTAAAGGGATTGTCAATTCCTATTGATTATTGCTTAAGTAAAATTCCTGGTGGATCAAGATTAACCTATTAAGGCTACGCTTCAGGGCACCCCAAACCTACCTACTCTTGTCTATTTTCTGCGCAGATTACAGTTGTCAATGGATTCTGTAAAAAACATTTTATTTTGCAATTTTCTCCAAAGAGAAACTTGGGGCCACAAAGTAAACTGGGTAGGGATGGACTGGTCCCAGTAGGCTTTAAAGGAAAGGAGGCGCAAAGAAGCTATGGATCTGGCACAGCTCTCTCTTGTAGGAGGGATCCAGTGGCTGTTCTCTGCTGAGGCGTGGGCAGCAACTACAAAGGAGGGAGGGAGAGAGGGACGTGCAGCTATCACTGCAGAGAGATAGATTCTGATGGTACTAATTGTAATGAGGAAGAGAGAAAATTACCAACTCCCTCCAACCTCTGTGGCCTTGCCTTTGATTTTTCTCAGGTTTACAGAAGTGTGAGGTGTGGGACCATCCATCTTTCCACCCCCACCACCCCCGTGCCAATAAGGACATCCCTGTGGTGGAAGCTGTCAGGTGGCATAGCCACACACACCTTCTCTGCGAACCATCCCACAAAAAGCGCATTGTGGACTCTCGGGGAAACCTCTCGTTGTCAATCACTCAGCTAAGAAATCCCCTCCAGGGAGCAGAGAAGGCAGACTGAGGGTAAAAAGCCACATCCAGGGGTGGGGGTGTGGGCTGCCAGGAAGGGACGGGCAGCGCCTCCCGAGGGCAGGGGGGTCCCCCTCTCCGCGGTCCTGGCGCAGAACTCGCTCTCTGCCTAAAATCGAGACAAGGACGTGCGCTCCGCCTGCACCGCCGCACAGCTTGTGCGCTTCGCCGCATCAGGCCGTGCCCTGCCCAGCTTCCAGGACCGAAAGGGCGGCCAGATCTACGCCTGCCTAAGCCCGAAAGGGAAACTGCGGCAACCTCCATCTCGTCTCATCCACGCCCCTCCTTACCTACTGTCCTGGAGCCGATGCAGCCCATCCTTCCGCCCAGCGAGGTTCCTCCAGGAGGAGGGAGCGGTGGCGAGCGGAGAAGAAGGAGCAGCCGCCGCCGCTGCCGCCGTAGCAGCAGCAGCCTGCGCACCGAAGCAGAAAGCGGGAGCGTGGCCGCGCTGTGGAGCCGAATTCCCGTCACGGCGAGTCCCCAAGGCGGCCCTCCCGGGGCCGGGTGGAGCTCCTCATCACTAGGCTGAGGTGCGGGAGAGCGCTCCGAGCCAGGGCTGCTGCAGGCAGCGCGCGACGCCTGGAGGGAGAGGCACCAGAGCCGCTTGGCCGCCGGACCCGCCGCTGCCGTCTCCCCTCAGCCTGGCGGGGGCCAAGAAGGATGCTCGCGGGGCTCACAAGGGAGACGGGTGGGCGGGGGAGGAGGAAAAGGAGCGCCGAGATTGGGTAAACAGCTCGGGAGCCTTGCGCGGCGCTGCCATTGGCTGAGTCGGAGCCGCGGCTGGAGGAAGGAGGCAACGGGGAGCCCCCGCGCTGCCGCTTCGGCTACGTGTGATGCTCGGAGCAGCAGCCAACAAACCAGACGCTCTGACACCCGCCCATTCGCCCCGGGTTGCGGCGGCGGCGATAGGGGGAGTGGCGCTGCAAAGCGGAGAACTTGCATTCACGACTTGCCAAGCGGCTCCGCTGCCGGAGCGGTCATTCTTGAAGCATCCTCTGAGGAAAAGAAAGGGCGCGGAGGAGGAACCGTCGAGAGCTAAATCAAGGAGTCCGACCTGGGGTTCGCGGGACGAAGCGTTGGGTTCAAAAGAAGTCCCTTCATTTGCCCCAGGTGAGCATGCAGAGGATGGCAGCCGGGAACGGGAAGGCGCAAGCTGCCATTCTATGCAGCCTTACCTGGGATTAAGCCCTCTTGAACCCAACGGGACTCGCGCCGCGTGCGAAACAACCTCCCGGCAAAACCCCGCACTGTGCTACGCGCTCTGCTTTAGAGCAGGAACAGCTCGGTTCGCCTGACGAGCGGACTAGGCGCTCTGAAAGCCCGTCTCGCGCTCCTCCTCCTCCTCCCCGCCCGGGTCCCCAAGGGCTCCGCGTGCGCAGAGCCTCCCAGCGTTTGCCGAAGGGAATTGCAGCAGCGCCTCGGAGCACGCGCCGCAACCGCATTGCCTTGCGCTGCACTGCATCGCTTTTTGCGGGCGCGTGTGGAGCTCCGCTGGACGGAGGGAGACCCTTGCGGAGACGTGGCGGTAGGATAAGGGACGTAGAGGCCGAAGGAAGAGGGGGTGGGGGTTGAAGTAAATTCGGTCGAGGATACTGGGAAGGAGACGAAACCAGACGGAAAAGGGTGAACAAGAGAGCTGAGCTGGTCGGCGACGGACGACGGGTACGGGTGAACGGAGGTGCCTCTAGGCAGAAATATCTGCAGCCGCGATCCTGCCTTCCCCGGAGGAGATGGAGGAGGATCGGTCCCTCCAGGCAACAGGAATAGAGAAGAGCTCGCCACACGAACAGAAACTTTTATTTCCGTCTTTGGCTAATAAAAATACATTCTATAAGACAAACCGAAATTATCCCAAAGATTATTTTTCAAGAGGCAAAAGGTGCTTCTTCAGAGTTGAAAAAGCTTCTTGGATGGGAAGCAAAACATCTTCAAAGAAAAAAAAAATCAGAAAGTCTAGTTGCCTCTTGAAAAAGCACCTTTGGGACAACCATGACCTGGATGACTGAGAATCTCCATAGACAAACCAAAATTATCCCTTAACCTCAGTAACTGTCAGCAACCATTTGTGGGGAAAGCTTATACACAACTTCACAATATTTTGCTACTTTTAGAGAAATAAATTTATCTTCATTATTTAAGAGAGAATACTAATAATAATTATCAGAGCGCCCTGGAAATGTAAATAAAAAGGAGACAATCGCTGGTGGAAAATATGCTGTAGAACTGACAGTACAAAAGCACATGGGCTGTGGTTTCTATGGCACCCGAGTACCAGGGCTGATATTAAGTTTTACATGAGTTTTCCTATATTTAACTATCATATTACGAGAAAAGGCAGCCATTTCTGTTTGGCCTTCCGTATAACGATACAGAAGGCCAAACAGAAATGGCTGCCTTTTCTCGTAATATGATAGTTAAATAGATTATCTGCTTTAATTTGATCTAGCTTGATCTGATCCTAAGATTAGGATGGCTTCACTGGAGGAGCCATAGAGGTTTCCATAGCAGCTGGATCAGTAACAATCACGGGATTGTATAATTAAAATGATAGTATTGTGTGATCAGGTTCCGGTACATCATAGTTATATACATTATGAGTATTAATAACCAAATCGTAGTGCCCATACCAGATACATATTTATATCATATTATGGTCTCCAAATTCAAGAGACCCTTATATTTAGTTGGTGCTATAGAAATCACAGCCCATTTTATTTTGTAATGTCAGTTCTACAGAGACATTTGTCATTGATTGCCCTCTTTTTATTCAAATTTTCCAGGGCACTCTGATGATTTTTATACAACTTATCTTAAACAATCAAGATAACTTTATTTCTCCAAAAGTAGCAAAATGTCTACAATATTGTGTGTAAGCGTCACCCACAAATGGTTGCTGACAATTATTGATAGTATGAGATAATTTTGCTCTGTGTATTTTATAGAGTGTATTTTTATTGGTCAGTCGCCATAATAAGGTCTCTGTTCCGTTCTCCCCTTTGTGACATGACTAGAAGGAGAGCTTCCATATTTACAGAGAAGCTGTAAGGTGGAAAGAAAAGCATCTGTTGCAGCAAAAACAAATGTCAGAGACTGATACAATCGTTTTTTAGACACTGAAGAAAGTTTGGTTATTGATTGCACTAAAGTGACATAGAGGCTGCCCTGGAGAGAATTTTTTTTAAAATTATAAATACTATGAATACTTCTATCACTCACCAGTCTCCTCACCACCTCAGCTTCTTCCCCCTCCACATTTTCAACAACTTTGTGTATATAAAATGTTCCTCTCTAAGGAGCTTATTTCATACATCTGCTGAAGTAGAGTATAATTTATAAAATCTTGTATACCGTATTTTTTGGACTATAAGATGCACTGGAGTATAAGAACACACTGACATTTCCACCCTCTTTTTTATGGGTGTGTGTGTGTCTTTTTACTTCAAAAAGTATGGTAATCATAAATAAAAATGCAAAAGATTAAGACAGCTAATTTTTGCCAAACATGTAGGTGGTGGCAAAAGCTGCCATGACTAGAACTGCCCAATGGGATGTTCCCTACTACTGACAGTTAGCTGAAGCTTAGTACTACAGAAAGTCCTCAACTTACCACCATAATTGAGCCTGAAATTTCTGTTGTTAAGTGGCACATTTGTTAATGCCCCAAATTTTGCCGCATTTGACTATCTATCTTGCCGTAGTTGTCGTGAATTACTGGAGTTTTTAATTTAGTAACATGATTATTAATTGAATCTGGCTTCCCCATTGACTTTGTTTATCAGAAGTTTGCAAAAGGTGATCACATGACCCCCGGACACTGCAACCGTCATAAATGTGAGTCAGTTGGCAAGTATCTGAATTTTCATCACAAGGGAATGATGCAATGGTGATAAGTGTGAAAAATGGTCATGTCATTTTTTTCAGTGTCGTTCCAAAAAACTGAAAACAGCACCAGGATTAACACACAATCACACAGACCCATGAAGCTCATAATAGCAAAAACAAGGCCATGAAGTCCAAACATCTGTTCAGACAGAAGTATTTTCATCTGGTGTTGAACCAGGGGAGGAAGATGGCCTGACATCTTAGGCCACAAACATCTTGTATAAGATATATCACACAGGATTACTACAATTAACTGCAATTAAAAGTGATGGCATAGCCGTGATAAGATGCTATGGCTGTGTCAGATATGCCTATTGTGAAGCTGCTTGCCTGCCAAGATCAGCATGGAGCAGAGCATCATCTTTATTTCAACCTACACTTAACTTGAGTTAGCACTAATTGGATCCAACCTATTTCATTTTTGACTCTCCTTGGTCTACATACTGGAGGTGTGATTTACTATTAGAATGGAGGTACAACAGATCATAGGAAATGCAGATTTGGGAGAGAGAAAACTGTTTTAGCAATAGCAATAGCAGTTAGACTTATATACCGCTTCATAGGGCTTTCAGCCCTCTCAGCGGTTTACAGAGTCAGCATATCGCCCCCACAGTCTGGGTCCTCATTTCACCCACCTCGGAAGGATGGAAGGCTGAGTCAACCTTGAGCCGGTGAGATTTGAACAGCCGAACTGCAGATAGCAGTTCAGCTGAAGTGGCCTGCAGTACTGCACCCTAACCACTGCACCACCTCGGCTCAATGTTTTG